TATTAGAATAAATTATGCAAGCCCAAAGCTGTGCCCCACGTCTGTAGCTTCATAAAAAAACATTTGTCTTGCAATGCATGACCTCCTTATGAGGCTGGAAAAGGCATCTGAAATTCTAGTGAGCTGCCAACAGCCATAAAAACAGTGCTGGGTTAATTAGATGCCTGACTTGTTTTGCTACAAAGCTGCATTTTGTTTTCCACTCACTGATGGGACTGTTGGTGGAGATAATATATATTTGTCTTTGAATTCTTCCAAACCACCAGATTTTTCCATCTCTCCCCCTTTCAATACCATTACAAATAAACCTGAGATTGACCAGGGCGATCCTGATTGATTTGCAGATTTATTCAAATAATCAAAATGCTATTAACACAGTAATGCTTTATGTTTGCAAGTCTGGAGCTTGCAGGGAACTGTCAGCCAATCAAGTGCTTGCCCTTTAGGGCCAATAGCTGTGCCCGAAGAACAGCCAGCCAATCAGTGCTCACTTCCTATCCTTTTCAGCTTGACAATAACTGAGTGATTTGGCTTAGGTTTCCCTGGCTTTGTGCCTAAAAAGAAATGGTCTCTTGTCCTCTTCCCAAACAGAAAACAAAATATATTACTAGCTTTCCCCCCAGCCTATGAATCATGTGCATGTATTGGCGAATGTTATGTCCCTTCTTTTGCAATAAAATCTCAAAGGCAATTGGAGGAGATTCTGTGCAATGGGAAGGGGACAGTTACAAACAAATGCATGGCTTTGCAACTTCAAAGCCTGCCCACTGGTATGGCTTCAAATCTCCACTGACTCACAAAATCCAAACGTTGGCATCCTGGCAGTTCTGACTGGGGCTCCTTTTCCTAACATTTACAGCAAAGCTCTTTGAACTGGCGGATAAACTGAACAAAAGGTCCCTTTCCAATAGGAGCCCAGCCATCTCCCAATGATACATGTCCCTTCTGAAGCAGCATTCCCAAAAGACTTTGAGATGGCATGATCCTTGAGATGGCCTGAAAGCATGCTCTCCAGGCACAGGGATAGGTCACAATGTCTCAGGGTCATTTCTCCCACAGCAAAGTCCTGATTATGTGATGGAAGGGTGCATCTGCAGGAGCGGAGGGGGAGACTGTTGGCAGCACAGAGCTTTCCCATAAAGAGGCCCAGAATAAGAGACGGTACAATCCTGAACTGGAGGGGGAAGAGAGGAAGAGGTTCAGGATAGCCACACTCCAAAATCTCTCGGGATGTATCTATTGGTAAGAAGGTTATAGCTTTAATTTGGCAAGATTCTATCCATTAGGTGTAAGCAAATAATCAACTGAACTCAATGGGATCTTGCTGTCTCATCTCTGGGCTTGGGCCCGACAGGACATGATGTCATGTGATGCACTAGGGCTGTGATGGTGAACCTATGATATGTGTCAAAGATCACATGCCACAATGGTTTGGATAACATGCCAGCAATCACCCATATCTAACAACCATTCTTGAAAGCACACCTTGTTCTCATGTGATTTTTTGGAGGTGTGGAGGTTGTGCGAGAATGTGAGATTCTCTCAGGCAGCCTATGAACCGTCACACAAGATCACACTCTATTCTCATGCAGTGTTTGGAGAATCCGGTGCTCTTGCGTGACTTCCAGAGAGTTTGGGGACTGCAGGAAAGCACACTCTATTCTTACACAGCCTCCAGAGCCTCCCAAAATCGCACAAGAATGGGATGTGCAGTTTTGGGAGGCTGCAGAAAAGCATTCTCAAGAGCTACTTCAAGAAAGTCCGTCTATAACCCAGAACAGCCTTGGGGAGGCCACAGGAGCCCATAAACAGAAAAATAATACCACGTGACGATACATGAAGATCCTGGGGAGCTCTGGGACACACGGTCAATCACGTTGTTCCCCAAGGTTCACACACCTTCGGGAACAGCACAAGGCACCTTTTTTGAATAGCAGTGGTGGGGCTAGAGCTGAAGAAGGGCCAGGCCTCTACTTCAGGCCTCGTTTCAATTGCCAAATGCCACTATTCAGAGTGACCTAAAGTTTTTTTGGGGGGGGGCAGAGCTAGAGAATTGATTTTCTTTTGTTTGGGAGGGGTGACACACCAGCAAAATCACATTTTGGACTTGCCAAGTCCCAAAGGTTATCATCACTGCAGTAGGGGGCTCATCTTGCCTTATTAAGGCCAGCCATACCTCCACCAGAAAAACCTCTCGGAAAACCCTTTTTTGAAATTGAAGAAAATACAAATTTCTTTTCATCTTTCTGTGGGAAAGATGGAAAATTATTGCTAGTATGATAGAGTGGAAGGAGAATAGGTTGCATATAGGCACACATCGAACAAGGAAACAGCTGTTGGATTGTCTTGAGATACTGAAGAGATGGGAGCCCTCGCTCACCACTCCAGCTCTGTTGAGAAGTCAGTGCAGACTCTTTTTATTGCATTGCAGATTTTTAAAAAGGTCCTTAAGCAAAGTTAGCACATATATATAGAAAGACCATGCGAATAGCCTTTTTTCAGACATGTTACTTTATCAATAAAAGGAGGCTCCTGCATAGTGTGTGTGTATCCGTGTGGGTATGCAGAGTCAAAGCAATCCTACTTCTAAATAAAGGAGCTGATACATTCCCCTGAGGGATGTACATTGTATAAAGTATATATTATTTAGCAATAACAGACATTTCATTGAAGTACAAAGTGAATAATCAATAATCTTCCTTCCTAGCAAGGACAAATGGGCTTAATTAGTTTTCAAGTCAATCTCGAGATCTGCTTAAGAGTAAGGACAACGTAATTGCCCTTAATAAATAACATATGAACATTATTCTAAAGCTCCATCTATGAATAACATACTTTTAATTCACTGTCATAGCCTAAAAGCATTTGCTGCAAATGGTTCAGTGCTCCTGAATTTTAGTATCAAATACAAAATAAAAGAAAAACAAAAAAGGAGCACAAATTGCTTTACTCAATTTATGGTTATTTGTGATTTCAGATAAAAGAGATCCACCTTCTATTCAAAAACGCATCTTGGCTGATTAGAAGTAGTCCTCAACATACAGCCATTCATTTAGTGACCATCTGAAGTTACAACAGCACTGCACTTATGAACAGTGTTCACACTTATAACAGTTGCAGCATTCCCATGGCTTGGGAGCTTGGCAGCTGGCATGCATTTATGACAGTTGCATTATCCAGGGATCACTATTTGTAATCTTCCTGGCTGGCTTTCGACAAGCAAAGTCAATGGGAGAACCTAGATTTGCTTAACGACCGCATGATTCACTTAACAACTGCAGTGATTCGCTTAACAATTGTGGCAAAAGAGGTCATAAAATAGGCCAAAATTCACTTAACAACTGTCTTGCTTAGCAAAAGAAATTTGGGGCTCATAAGTCAAAGGCTACCTGAACAAGGAGCATGTGGCTCTTTCTCCAAGGGTTCATCATCTGTTTCATAGTAAAAGATTCTGACCTCTATATGAAAATGGGTTATTTAAAAAATCCTGTTCCGGCATACAAACACGGGAGCCCACTTACACTACGTGTCAGAGTTTTGAGGAAGAGCCCATTCCTTGGTCTTGCTATCATCAGAGAGGTATATTTGGAAGGAACCTGAGAACGCACCTTTTCCCTTGTTGCTCCAAACTTTGAAGCTACCTGCCAGATTGCTTTCCTCTTTTTTGTGTCTGTGAGCAGGCAAACATATTTTTAATTCAGATGGGAAATTGTCTGCTCCAGTCAGTTTTAATTGGCTGCTGTTTCATCCTTTTTACTGATGTTTAATTTGTTTTTTGTTTACCACTTTAGCTTTATTTCTGTATGCTGATTTGTATAGCATTTTTGGATGCACAATCACAAATGTTTTAATTGATTGGTTGTTTTAAACAAAATGTTTAAAAATCTCTTGGGGGAGGGGGGGTTTGGCTGTAAACTTCTTTCTCACAAGGCTTTGCCCAGAATGTATCTTCTCAAAAACCTAAAGAATCACCGATATTCACAGTGGCCTGAATCTTTGGCTCAGAAGGGAGACCTTGAACTATTCTTGTGCTACAGATTGGTGGCTCTGAAGCTGCTATATAAACTTTGCTTGGGAGAAAAGCCAAACCATCCACCTTTGTGACAGATGGCCCAGGAGAGGAATGAGGGCTGTTGAGGCAAGTGGGAAGGTATATTGTTAGTTTCATTTTGCCAATGATACTGAAATAATGTTCAGAACTCATTAACTCACTCCTTTAAAAGGTGAATAAGATCTGTTGCTAAGAGAAGCACAATACAGAATGTAAAGAACTGTGTATACATCTAATCATTAAAAAAACAGGAATGTTTAAAAATGCACATTTAAAGTCAGACAATTTATCCCATGTATGAATACCTTGACAAAGAGAGTTGTTTAAAATTCTCTGCTTTCTTTTCAGATCATGTAAATCATTCTTGTCTTAATAAAAAAAAAGCAGCATTTTTCTAAAATGAAAGGTATCAGTACTAAACTCAGCCTGGCAGCTGCACATAATACAACAATGACCTTGATTTCAATCTTCCATGAATGATATCGGATATAAACGCTGCACTTCCTCAGAGAAATTCTTTGCAGCACTGATGTCATTTATATTTTCTTCCTTTGCTCAGCATTCTGACTCTTATCTGCAATAAAGATGCCCAGGAAAGTTTTAGGGGGAAACTATTCACCCTTGGGAAGTAGCCCAGAGTCACTCTAGACCAGGGATCTTCAAACTTGGCCCTTTTATGACTTGTGGACTTCAATTCCCAGAATTCCTCAGCCACGCATGCTGGCTGAGGAATTCTGGGAGTTGAAGTCCACAAGTTATAAAAGGGCCAAGTTTGAAGACCCCTGCTCTAGACAGTGAGATATATGGCATATGAATTTAATAAATAAACAATTAATAAATTACCATTAGAAAAGGGGCACCCCGTCCTCCTTTAGCAGGTGCTGGGGTAACACGCAGAAGCCTTCGTTGGTTTGCGGAGCAGGGCAGGCGTCCGGTGGGCATGGCTTACCTTGTGTTGTTTCCACATGGCTCCCAGGGCCTTCACGTCATGCTTGGAGTGTTTTCCTTCTTCCAGACATTGGTAACAGACGGGGGTCCGGCAGGTCACACAGTACATGCTGTAGTTCTCCAGCTCATGATCCGCGCACGTTGGAGACTTGCGGGCAGCGCCCGGGCCTTTGCTTCCTCCGCCGCACGCCCCGCCCGCGCCGCTAGGGGCGCTCTGCTGCTGGCTGGGGGGAGGAACCAAGCGGTGCTTGGCGAAAGGCCCACGGGACGGGTGACATTTGACCTGGCAAGCCGAGCAGTAGAGCACCTCGCACTGTTCGCACAACACCGCGGCCGCCTCCGGAGGGCTGCGGTCGCACAGTTGGCACTTGGCCATAGCCGAGGCGGCGGCCCGGCTCTGCTGGTAGCGCTGCACGATGGCCTCCAGGAGGCGGTTGCGCTGGAAGCCGCGCAGGCCGCGAGGATCCAGGGATGCGCTGCGATGGCATTGCGGGCAGGTGAGCGAGGAGCTGGTTCCGCTCCCGCGGGGTCCCGCCAAAGCCGCCGCGGCCGACAATCCCGGAGGCGGCGGTACCAAGGGCAAAACTCGCACGCCGTTAGGAGATTTCAGGCTCGGGGTGTAGGAGCCGTAGCCGCTGTCCGTCTCGCTGTGCAAGCTCACCTTGTCGGCGTGGTCTCCGCCGCCGCCGCCAGCGGTCCCACTGCTTCCGCCGGCGCCACACTCGTAGTCCAGAGAGGCCGGCCCGCTTGTAGCTCCAGCGCCTGGCACTGCCGTTGCCGCAGGGCCCCGAGGGTGCAGCATGGCGGGCAGATGCTGCTCGGACTCTGGCGTTTGTACAGCGATGGTGCGGGCGCAGGGCAGGCAGACATTGTGCGAACAGGGCAAGATGATGGGCTCCCGGAAGAGCGAACCGCAGACGGGGCATTTCAGCTCTTCTTCCATAGCTGCGGCTGCTTTGTGTCCAGACAGCGGAGTAGGGCGGATGGAAGCGATCAACACGAAGGCGGCAAGCTACGGTCAGGCTTCTCGCTGCTCTTCCCGCCACCTTTTCCACCCATATTCCACCGCGCAGCCCTTCTCTGCTTTCAATGGCGCATATGTCGTTGAGGCAGGGGTGGCGGGCCCGGGAACTTCTGTGGTCCGCTGCAGGGCCAGCGTGTGCCCATAGAGGAGCTCAGGCATTTGCTTGGGGCGGCACGATGGGTGGGGGCGGCACAGCAGGTGAAAGCGTGTTGCAGGCGAGAGTGGCAAAAAAAACCCCCTCAGCGCTTACTGTTTAGGGCGACCATTAGATGGCAGCAAAAAAGTAAGTAGAAAGCTGCATTTCTTTGCTGTCATCTAACGGTTGCCCAGATTTTTGCCGCCCCGATCTGGTTGCCATCGATTGCCACCACCACCACCCCCTCCGCCTTTCCTCAAGAATGCTTCCAGCTATAGCTGCAACTGCTGCTATTTCTCCCCAGGGTATCTTATGTGATGCAAGGCCTAGGCACCCGAATAGGCTTGCTTCCCATTGTTTGTGGGGCCCATCTGAGAGGTTTGCCTTGGGCCCCAGAGAGCTCTACTTACGCCCCTGTCTTGTCTTCTCCCCGCAAAGATGTCGGAAAGGAATCCGATTTCAGCACTCAGGAGGCGTTGGACAGGTCCTCGTGGGAGAGAGAGAGACGAGTTCAGCACCGCGGCATGTATGGACAGCGTTTTCGGCGAGCGGTTGAGCAGGAAGGAAGCGGATGGACAGTTCCTTTAGATTGAGTTCAACAGCGCCAATGGCCGGATCTGCCTGCTTGGCGTTGCAGCTGCCGCGCTCCAAGCAAGAAGGAAGGGCGGGAGGGACGGTTTTTTTTCTAGTCTCCGCAGCTGCTGCCGCAGCGGGATTGACCTTGCCTGATGGCGGCAGCCAAAGACATGGAAGACGAGTCGGCTATTGTTTATTGCAAAGGAATTTCTTTGCCCTTGGTGGATAGCGTTCGTGCAATAATCCACTTACTTGAATTTTTATTGCATAGAGTTAAAAAAAAAAGAGGGGGGGGAGAATATCGTAAAGGGGGCGGGAGTAGGGTTTTTTTTTCAGCAAATAGATGAGCACTTGCTGTGTGACTGTGAAGGGGGAGCAAGTTTTATTTAAAGGGAGATGTCTTTATACCTTATGTTTATGGCTTTAAAAACCCATTATTTATTGTCCAGATTGACGATGGGAAGGGCAGGGGGAATTTTTTATTTGTATTACTTTTATTATGCCCAGAGGAAAGAGCCTGCTCTAAACAAATAAACTGGAAAGGCTAGAATGTGACCCCAACATAATAATTATTTTGGTTTTTCAGCTCTCCTGTTACACTGAAGCACCAATTCAGATCACAAAATCAAGCACTTTAACTAAAAGAATAAAAGAGAAATGTGGCTTTTTCATTATTATAGGTGGCACATAGGCTGAATGGTGATTGGATGATGGCACTTCAAACACACACAGTCATACATAATGTAGGAAATAGAAATGAAGCGCATTACTGGCAACAAAATCCAGCTTTGTTTCAAGAATAAATCAGAGTTGACAGCTGAATGTGTGTGAGTTGAAAATAATTATTACCAGAAATCTCTCACAGTGGTAAAGCCCATCTGTTTTTCCTTTCCTCTACATATGTTTTGGAAAATAAGCTGTTAGGGCTTTCTTTTAATGCAGATTTTTAAAAAAGCCCTTTTTTAACTTTAGAAAGAATATAGAGGAACTGCAACCAAATGTTAATGGCATGGAAAATAAATTAGATATGCTTCCTTAAAGTCTTATCAGTAAAAGATAGCGTAGGCTTTCTTGCTTTAATTGTGCATGTATTTAAAACAAAAGCAGAAACAAAAGAAGAAACAGTATAAAATCAGAATGAAGTATATACTGCTGTAGTGAACATAAAATATTGCTTTTCTATTGCATTTGTTCTTCTGCCCTCCAGATATCCTCAAGCGCTATTCTATGTATGAAGCAACATTTAATTGAATACTAATACATTTCATACCTGCTTCAAGACCAAAGACCTGAATGTTAAGACTTAAAGTAATCTCTTTTCTTCAACCCAGAAAAGGATTTCAACCCAAAATCTCAACAATTTATAGATAAATTACATTGTATGGACTTTTCAGAATGTCTTCATTTCCCTCTTTTTCTGGTATACCACTACGAGCATGGGAATGAAAAAGAAATGGGGCATTCTCCAACTCCTAAAATCTTTATGAATGTATCCAAAATTAATTATGCACATACTGCAGTTTCCATCCTCACTATATTAATTCTGCATCACTTCAGTGTTGCAAAGGGTAACATTCAGAAGAGAATTCAGAAATCTCTACACCATACAGCGGTTTGACTCAATATCTGTGGGTTTCCTGATCAAGGTATTCCTCCAAGTATGCCATTAATCATTGCTTCATCCTTAAAAAAACAATTTCTCTACTGTGCAATCAAGAAGAATTTCAACATAGAAAAAATAATGAAACATGATTTCTGCTCATATCTTAAGAAAAATTGGCCTATCCCCCTTTTAAACACAATTATGTGCCATTGGCATTCATGGAGAAGGGCAAAGAGAGCTTCATGACATACTTGGGGACAAAAAAGCGGGAGCATTTTTTTCATCATGCTTATTTTTGTGTCGGTTTACTTAATCAAGTTTGTCTGATGTTGCAATCACAAGACTCTTGGTGGCTCAAAATACAATAAAAGTATTATTGTTAAGTATTATTATTAGCTTAAGACACAATAAAGCATAAAAAGCTTAAAATAGATAAAACCCAAATAAAACACATGGAATCAAGTCCCCACAACCCTCGAGAATAACTGACTTTTGGCTTTTTTTTCCTCTATCAGAAGATTACTCATGAAGGTTTCATCACCAAACAACAAAAACAAACTAAAAAAAAAAAAACCCTGGGACTTGTAGGCCTGTCCCCATCCTCAAAATGGTGAACAAACAGATACTTTTCTTGGCATGAGGTTGGACTGATTCTAATGGAGATAAGAGGTCCTGAAGATAATCAGGCATCAAGTCATAGTTCTCTACATGTTGTGTTCTTAACATAGTGTCTGTAAGATAATATTGTTTACCTGAGATAAAAAAAACAAGAAATCTGTTTTCAGAAAAAAATGACAATCCAAATAATAAAATATAGATATTTCCACATTTTTGCCTTATCCTGCAATGAATCTAGGGATATCTCAAAGTATGTATTCATATTTTAATGACACTAGAAACAGCCTGTGACATAATGGCTACTTGTTGGGAAAATGTTCTCATGATGTCAGAATTTTTAATCTATATTTTATATCTATGTACTTTATTGAGGCACTTTCCAGATGTCCAAAAGGTCAGTGTTATACGTTTAAGCCATTGTAAATGACAGTTAAGGGTAAAGCAACTTAACAAAATGCAGTCTCCTGAATATTTGAAGTTGCTTGTTTAATGCTCAAGGATACCTGTGTTTGATGAAATCCAGACACAAACTGTCACTTAATAAAATGAGTTGCAGTGGGAATATTGTGAGAGAGTAGAAATGAAATTCTCCCCTAATTTGCACCAGGCTATAAAGCAGGACACTATGAGTTTGACTCCTGCCTTAGCCTTGGAAGCCAGCTGGGTGACCTTGGGCTAGTCGAGGGGTAGGCAACCTTGGCTCTTTTATGACTCATGGACTTCAACTCCCAGAATTCCTGAGTCAGCTATGCTATGCTGACTCAGGAATTCTGGGAGTTGAAGTCCAAGAGTCATAAAAGAGCCAAGGTTGCCTACCCCTGGGCTAGTCTCTCTCCTCAGCCCAACACACCTCACAGGGTTGCTGTTGTGGGGAAATATAAACAATAAAGGTTGGGATATAAACAAATGAATCAACAAACAAACAAACAAATAAATATTATTCTACATAGAAGCGAAGGGTTGCTGTCTTGTTGAACAGACATTACCAATGCTGTCTTGTTGAACAGACATTACCAATGCCAGGGAAGATCTTCTGGCCTAAAGCAAAGTTGCTTGAAGTTGGCCAGGAGAACTTTTACAATCGCAGCAAAAACCTAGAAGTCACTTTTTTTCAGCAATACTATATCAGAACCTGATGACAGAACGGAGACTGTAATTCCTTCCTTCATTCTATCTACACCAGGGGTTTTCAACCTTGGCAACTTTAAGACTTGTGGACTTTAACTTCCAGAATTCCTCAGCCAGCAAAGCTGGCTGAGGAATTCTGGGAGTTGAAGTCCACAAGTCTTAAAGTTGCCAAGGTTGAAAACCCCTGACCTACACGAACATAGCAAAAAGTGTGCATGGAACTCAATCAACCAGATGAGAGAAGCAATTTTCCCGGGCAACCAGTGATGGGGAAAATGGCGCTCCATGCTCTAGAACCATTTCTAATTGTCCATGTCACTGTTTAATTAAAATTTAAGGTGTGCTTAAATATAAGGTGATGCTCATTAAGCAGACCAATTAATCGACTGAAACTTTAATCTCTACATTTTACAGATAAGGAAAAGTTGAATGGAAAATTCTAAATCCAAAGAATTCCAACCTGAGAAAAGATTAAATGCAAGGAATGAGTTCCAGGTTGGAAGAAGCAGGCTGAAGTTTTGGGGTTGTTGTTGTTTTTTTTTTCTCCTGGGCTTCAAGTCTAGAAAGCAGCAAGGACTGAAAGAGTTGGCTTCTTAAGCTGGAACACAGGCCCTCTGCTCCTGAACCCTTAAAGAACTGGAATTTCTATGGTAAAATAGACAAAGAAAGAAACTTGGCAGCTTGAAGAAATGTGGAATTCAACTCCCAGAATTCCCTAGCCAGCCACGCTGGTTGAGGAATTCTGGGAGTTGAAGTCCACACATCTTCTAGCTGCCAAGGTAAAGAAACACTATTTTAGACAGAGGTTTCAGGGGTGTTTTTCTTCTCAGTGTTACTCTGCTGTATACCCTTTGTCTTGTCTTTTGTTTTTGTTTATGTGCAGATTTGACAAAGTAGACCACAACCTGCTGCTTAGTAAGCTAGAAAAAGGTGGGATAGGCAACAACAGCATCAGATGGATCTGTAGCTGGCTGCAAACTGTACTCAGTGAATAATCCTCAATAGCACTACATCCACATGGAGAGAAGTAAGCAGTGGCGTACCACAAGGCTCCATCTTAGGCGCAGTACTCTTCAATACCTTCATTAATGACTTAAATGAGGTAATAGAAGGAGAACTCATCAAATTTGCAGATGACACCAAAGTGGCAGGAATAGCCTTCACCCCAGAAGACAAGCTCAGGATCCAAAAAGATCTTGACAAACTTGAACAATGGGCCCTATCCAACAAAATGGGTTTTAATGTGAGAAAAACAAAGTTTTACACTTAGGCAGGAAAAATCAAATGTTTAAGTACAGATTAGCTGAGGCCTGGCTCAAGAACAGCAACTGTGAGAGGGACCTTGGAGTCCTAGTGGACAATCACTTGACTATGAGCCAGCAGTGTGCAGCAGCAGCCAAAAAAAGCTAATACAATCCTGGGTTGTATAAACAGAGGAATAGAATCAAGATCACGCAAAGTATTAGTATCATTTTATAAAACTCTAATAAGATCACACCTGGAATACTGCAACCAATTTTGGTCACCATACTACAAAAAAGATGTTGACACCTTGGGAGAAGTTCAGAGAAGAGCAATTAAAATCATCAAAGAGCTGGAGACTAAAACTTACAAAGAACGGCTGCAGGACTTGG